ATTTTGAATAAAGGCTTTTAATCTACACCATGGGTGTCAAACTCGCCTCTACTCCCAGACCGGATCCAGGCCACAGGGATCAAGCTGGGCTGCAATGAAGCTCCTGGGCAGGATCCAGGTCTGGTGGCAGTAGTGGGCTGAGCAGCAGGAATTAACACAGCCATTTCTCACCTACCTGCCACTAACACATATGCCCATTAGGACTCTGTACCTGAGAATTCAACAGAAGGCCCCAGCCATGTATTCTTGGCCCTGTAGGAGCCCTGCAGGCTAGCTGACACCACTCCATGGGTTGGATATGGCCCTTAGAACGTGTTTGACACCCCCAGTATGTATAAAAAGATACTTAACCAGCTTCAACCCTGGTATTTTTCACTTTGAGATCTTCAGAAAGAGTGGCACACACTTTGGTGTCAAATGAAGGACAAATCAGATGCATTTCCAGGCAGTTAACATTCTTTAACCAACTTTGACCTGTGCCCTGAGAAAGGCACTTGGTACCCAACTGTTGGTCCAGGAAAAGGTATCATGAAAAAACCTTTTCTCTCAGACATTTCTTGGCCCATAACATTTCTTGGCCCATAACAGCTACAACACTCCAGCCCTGCTTAAGCAACTCTACCACTCATGAAAAAGCTGCCAGCTCTAAGGACCACAGTCCAGATCCAAAGGAGGATTTAGGTGCCCCAAGTGTAACATACGCATACTTAAGGAAACTAAGTTAATGACTGCAATCCAAAAAAACCCTGTTCCTTTGGCCACTCAAACTTACTAAGCACCTCCCTCTGATCTGCAAATTTCAGAGGCACCTGCATGCATCTTTTCTGCATGCCCAGAACTGCCCCAGTCTGAGCAGATCAATACTTAGCTCCTGCTTAAGACTCACTGGGATCCAGAAACTAGTAGCAGTGGTGTCTATGAATTCATCAGGAAGGTAAGCACCAGACAGGGAAAAGAGCTTTCTACACAAAAACACAATGCTGGTAAATGAACAATGTCAGCGAAGAAAATTAGGCTAGAAGTTAATCAGCAGAGAAGTGAGGTTCTGAAAGAGTCTTTCCATAGAATGAATGAGGACAATAGACCTAAATATGAGAGGGAGCTTCATCAGTTTATTAAACTGATTAAATAACACAGTTGCCTGCAATAGCACTAGGCTTGATGTTGGATGCCTCTTCCAGTCCAGTATTCCTATTAGTTTTACAGTTGCTATTTTAACCTCTTTGAAATTCCTAAATGGTCATTGTGAGAAACAGTAACTAAGAGTGCTTGCTTTACCTTCTTCATACCATTCTTCAGTGTATATACAGTTCTGTCAGATCAAATCTTTGCCTTTTTTTTAAATCTTTGCCACTTCTTTAAGTAGTTAATCCTTTTTAATAGCCTCACAAGGAAGCTGTGCTTTGATTTTAGTATTTGCTTGCCTTCCCATGGACCCCTCTATTTTTGCTATACATTTTCTTCCAATGGTTTTTGGAAGAAAAGTAAGGGCAACACTGGACCCCTGCTAAACCAAATGGGACAACTGACATCCGACACCCAGGAAAAAGCCAACCTGCTTAACGGGTACTTCGTGCTGGTTTTTCATCTACCCAAAGGAGCCGCCCTGCCTATCATGGCCAGCAGCTCCCCACTCCGCCTGCTTCTCTCGCTCCCCCTCTAGTCCCTCAGTCCCCACTATCATGGGGATGCTTCTGTTTGTGCAGAGCACTCTAACTAGTTGTTTCAGTAAGCATTGTGATTGGCTGCCGAGACAATGACTCAGAGTGCAAATAAAGCATTACAGACAGACAGACAATCAAACAGACTAAAGCTTTTATAATATTAAAATTATCAGAGTGAATGCCTGTTCCATTCATCACTCACCTTAATGTTCAGTTTGCTTCTATAACCACAGCTGGGCACAAGCCTTTCCATAAAACCGTTCACATTGTTACCATAATCTATCTTCTTGTGTGTACGCTTAAAACAGTGTGTATAAACTAGCCATTATTTCTTCTGCTATGCATTACACAGAATCCTCTACTGAACTTTATTTAGCTTTATGTTGTCCAATTGCATCACTTTGTTAGGTCCCTCTGGCATTCATTGATCTTTCTCTTATCTCAACTATACTAAACTGTTGCGTTATCTATAATTTTGGTACATAACTCATCTGAAACAAAAGCCCCTTCTTCCTCCATTTAAATGCACAGGCAGGATGCAAGACAAGCCTTTGCAGAGCCACAGCTCAACTGCAGCTATAAAAGCCAAGGAAAAAGAAATCACACAAGTCTCGATGATGAGGACTGGAAGGAACTCATCTACATCAGTGAGGGCCAATTTCTGGCACATATGCCACAAATTAAGCCCCAAGTGCCACTCCAATCTTCAACCCCTAGTGCCCGACCCTTGATCCCCTTCCCCAGCTGCTCAGCTTTTGGGTCCCTGCCCTCTATTTTCTGCCAAATATGTTACTCTGCCCAATCTGCTGTGTGCCACACATGCCACTTGTAGCATGTGTCCTGCAGGTTGGCCACCCCTGGTCTACACAATTTATCCTTCTAGCTGATTAATTTAACAACGCTTAGGTTTCTAAGAAAGTGCCATTTAAAGTGCCCAAGAAGTTATTGGAGCATAAGGAAGTCCATTTGCAAGCATCTGGAGGAGGAAAAGCTGATCACAAGCAGCCAGCATGGATTTACTAACAATGAATCATGCCAAACAAATCCGATCTCCTCCTCTTACAAAGTAACTACTTAGGTGGATGAAGGGAATGCTAGGGACGTAGTCTATCTGGACTTCAGCAAGGCTTTTGGCAAAGTTCCACATGACCTTTTACATGGGCTGCACAAAACTACTATAAAGTCGATACACAACTGTCTCAATAACTGCAAGCAAAGTGTAATTATAAATGGATCCATGTTAGAATGTCAAGAGGTTTCGAGCAGAGTCCCATATGGGTCTGTCCCAGTGCTGTTCAACATGTATATGAGGGATCTGAATGCTGACCTAGAAATCTTCTTGAGTAAATGTGTAGATGACATGAAACTGGGAAGGATTCTGAACATGCTAGAGCATGGGAGTGCAATTCAGAAGGATCCTGACATATTGGAAAATTGGGCTGGAGCTAACAGGACAAAGTCCAATAATGACAGGTGCAAGATGCTATACCTCATGGAGAATAATCAAAAACAGAAGTACAAAACAGGTGACACCTCACTAGATGGCAGCACTACAGAGAAGGATCTGGGACTCTTGGTGTATCACAGACTCAGTACACAAGTCTGCAGTGTGATGTAGCTGCACAAAAAGTGAATGAGGTTTTGGGATGCATCAATAGAAGCATTAGGTGCAAGACACAGGAAGTGACAGTGCCTCTCTACTTGGCACTGGTTAGGCCTCATCCAGAGTATCGTGTGCAGTTTTGGGCACCACATTTTAAAAAGGACATGGAAAAGTTATAGAGGGTTCAGAGGCAGTTGACAAAAACGAAAAAGGGCTTGGAAGGCAAGCTTTACAAAAAGATGCTGTACAAAATAGACATGCTCAGCTTGTGGAAAAGGTACTTAAGGGGGACATGATAGCAGTCTTAAAATACTTGAAGGGCTGCCATAAAGAAAATGGAAAACACCTTGTCTCTCTTTCTGCAGAGAGCAGGACACATACTAATGGCCAAAAGTTGCAGCAAAGTAGGCTTAGATTGAATATCCGGAAAAAACTTCTTCACTGTTAGAACAGTGAGGCAGTGAAATAGACTGTCTAGAGATCAGGCCCAAGGACCCCTCTACCCACATGCCTGATCCAGCCCATGCAGCATCTTCCCAGGATCCTGGCCCAAACAAGTGCCACAAGAGGCACAGCCCAAAATCGGCTCCAGCAAGTGCTGTAGCCAGCACGTACATCAGGCACTGAGTACAGCGCTGGTTTGGTGCAGCATCTGGGTCACCAGAGCAGTACAACGGCCCCTTGAAGAAGAGCCACTGATCAGAGATGACCAGGAACGGTCAGAGATGATCTAGGTGTAGCTATGTCTGTGTTCTACTATGGGCATTCCTCATGCTTCTGCACTTTGCTGGTTGCCACAAGAAGCCAGGAGGAAATTCAACCCCTTCCCTCTCCTCTGCGAAGCTGCTACGTGTGTCAGGGATACTTTTAAGTCTCCCTCACAGGCACTGGGTGTTGGCTGCATCCAAGGCTGGGGACTGTGACTGGGCTGTGCCAACACTTCTGCTGGGACCTAAACTCAGAGGTTCCTGACTGGAGAGTCCTGCCCCACCGCTCAGGATTCAACCTATCGCTGTATATAGGGTCAGGAAGGAAGTTTACCCCAGGTTCAGACTGGGAAGGACTAAGGGGATTCTACCTTCCTCTGCAGCAGCGAGCCTGGGTGTATAGTAACAACGCTGGCAGCAGGACATTGTGCCTCCCCTTCCCCGTGGCAGGCAAGAGTGTACATGTGATGCCGTGCTGGGGATGATCACTCAGCTCTGCTGGAGGCCCCACACTAGATTTGTGCAGGGTGCTTTGGAAGAGGATGATCCTGCCTCAGACAGCTGGTGGGACTAGGGGCCCGACTGCACATTCAAAGCAGAGCAGGACAACGACTGGCTGCAGAGATGCTTTGCCGGTCCAAGTGCTACGGCTGCAGTGCTGGCGCTCTTGACAACTAGGCAGTAATTTTGGTCCTGGGATATCACTGCTCAGCACCTCTGGCCGCATCTCAATTTACTGCACTTGACTGACCAATGGCGCCATATACATAACATGTGACAGACCAATGGTGCCATATACATAATGTGTGACAGGAGCGCCCTTAGGTGACCTCCCGAGGGCCCCTGAGCCCCACCGCTCCCAGCTCTGTGACTCCACGGCCGCCCAGCCCCTAGGGCACGTGGGGGGAGAGCCCAGTAGGGGGCGGGGAGAGGGAGGTGCGCATGGCCCCACGGTTGCCCCGGAAACAGGCCCGCAGGCCCCGCCCCTCCCGTGACGCAAGGCAGGCCGCCCCCGCCGCTGCTCACCACCATGGGGATGCCATAGCGCAGCGTAATATTCCGCCGCAGCCACGCCATGCTGCGGCCGGGCCCTTCCACCTTGCCAGCTCTTCCGGGTTAGGCGGTCCGTCGGGCACAGGAACCCGGCCCAGCACCGCGGCCCCGAGCACCTCAGTTCCGGCCCGCCCCAGTGCGGGCGGGGCCGGGCCTGGCGCATGCGCTCCCCGTTCGCGTGGCGGGGAGGGGGCGGAGTCTGTGCCCTGTTCCGCCGCTAGGGGGAGGGCGGCTCCCGCGCGTGCCGGAACGGTCCCGTGGCGCTTGCTACGCGTTAGGTGACTGATACAAGTCACTGGTGAGCCGCGCAGCACATTTAGGCCGGACACATGGCCAGCAATTACCCCGCGATAAAAATGACTGCCCCACTATATAAAAAGAGCCCAGCAGCTATTAAGTCAGTGCCTCAAAACGTGTAACGACTCATCCCTGGCCCTTGGACGGGCTCCGCTGGAAGGGGAGCAGGGCCCTTTCATTTCCCCGGGGTCAAAAAAGCCAGCGTGAGCGTCACGCTTGGCACTATCCGAGGGGGGCCACAGGTCAAAAACGGGCTGAGAAGCGCTGCTCGGTGGTCCAGTCGCTGCAGCTACGGCAGCTCGTGTTGCACCTTTGTCCTGGCGTGGGGCTGCCTTTCAGCAACCATCGCCAGCACATGGCTGCCTTGCTAGGTGCGGAAGAGCCCCCTCCCCCAGGTGGGACTGGCTGGGACAATCCCCTTTCCTGCCAGTGCTCCCCACTCTGTGACACCCACTGCTGCGGGGCCAGGTTTGAGGCATCTGACCCTTTCTCCCCTTTCTGGACCACCATGGAGCAGTGACCTTGATTTCCCAGGATGCCCCAATACAAACGCAGGCGGCAAAGTAGGTACTGCCTTGCGGTTGAGGTGATGCTGGCAGAACTAGGATGGTTTGGACAGGGATGATCCTACCTCAGACAGGGTTGGACTCAATGGCCCCTGGAGGTCCCTTCCAGCCCGGCTTCTCTGCGATTCTATGAAATTTGCTCTGTACGCAAACTTACCCACCTGATTTGTAACTTGGTAAAACAATTGCATTTCTGATCAATTACAAAACTGCAGTTTACCTCATAGTGCGGACTCAATGCTATAACTATTTACAGGCAAGGATCTTTGAGTAGATGTGACATCTTTTATTAGACCAACTGAGTAGTTGGGGAAAAGTTCTTAGCAAGCTTTCAGGTGCAATCCCCCTTCTTCAGGCACAGGGAGTCTCTGCTGTCTTCCTTTCTATGCCTTACTGAGAGAGACTAAGATAAAGTTACACTAAAACTCTGGATTCAAATATAAAAATATACCCAATCCATTCAGATGACATCCAGTCCTTCTCTCCTTAATAAACCAAACAAACCTTCCTCATGCTGGACAATTGGGACTGAAAAGCTCTGCATCAGTGCTTTACAAATGGTTGTAAAATTCTGAAAAGGCTCAGATCTAAGCCTGCCATCCCCTAATGAGAAAAGCCTCAGTCTTGGGACTGTGTTGATCCAGGCAGAGTTTTGTAGGTTATGCTCATCTTGAATTAAGTCTCACTTCTATCTTGAGGCTTGCCTGTCTACATTTCATTTGGGCAAGACTGGGAAAAAGACAGAGCTCCTGTTTAGAAAGAACATGTGTCTGGGCTCACGTTTAGAAAGAAAAAGGATAAAAGAAAAAAAGATTTGTGTGGTGCATTTGGCCCTGAATATAAACTCTTTCCTGTATCTCCCCAGACAAGGCATAACCACATTCTGAAATAAATAAATACAAAATATTTCATTTAATCTCATCAAGCAAGTCGGACATTTTGCCCAATTCAGGTGCTACAACTGGATGATCTTAGTGTGCCTGGAGCTGTGAGAGCTGAAAGCTGCTAGTGGTACAGTAGTAGCTCTCTAAATTAGTTGAAGCTATTGATTAAATAAGGCCACTGAATATTTCACAGATTTTTCTGCTGCTTGATATAACTGTGACTAAGGTGTTTGAATTAAGTTGTTCTGCACACACTAATGATTTAAGCCATCTAGCATTGCTTCCCTTACATTTCTTTCTTTAGTTGTCTGTCTGCTCTGTTTGTTCTGAAATTCTCAGCTTTTGCTTAGATTGGGGGTGTCAAAGATCCAGCCTGCAGGTCAGATCCAGCCCATGGAGCCCTAGCACTGACCAGTGCTGGCCCCAGCCCTGGCCCCGCTCATTGCATGCAGCACATGCACCAGCTCAGCCCTGCATATAGGCTCTGGGTCCAGACAGGGCCCCCAGACTGTCCCTGCATGCCAGTGCAAGCACCATATGCATTGTGTGCCCTGTGCTGGCCCCATGTGCCACTTGCAACATGAGCTCTAGTTTGAGGCCAGTATTCAGGGCTGAACCAGGCACGAGTACACACTGCATGCAGCACATGAGACTGATCCGGGGCATGCACTGTATGTGATGTCCCACCAGACTGGCCTTGTACACTGGCTCCAGAACTAGTTTTGATTAGGTCCACAGGGCCCATCCAGACTGGCCCTGTGGCTGAGTGTGTTCGATACCTCTAGGCTAGGAGGGACCCTAGCTTAGATTAGAAACTCTTTGGGGCAGGGACCGCCTTGTTATTTTTTTTACAGCACCTTGCACAGTGAAGCTCTGATCCATAATAGAGCTCTGCAGCATTATCATAATGCTAGTAATAATAAAGTAACAATAGTCACTGATAACAATAGTAATATAGAGACAATTCACTGCTATTCTGTATTTCAGGAGACAAAGGAAATCTGAAGGCATCCAAGTATAGTACAATCAACAGTAAAGCTGTGGCCTATCTAATATTATTATTAGAGAGCTGAGGCATATCTAATATTATTGACCACTGATAGAATGAAGGGCCTTCACTTAGGTCTGAACCTGTAATTTTGACCCAGGTAAAATTCCTGTTAGAAATCAAGGCAGTTTGCTGGAAGTTAAGGGCTCCTTTGGGGTTGGCAGAAAGAGAAAGAGAGAGAGAGAGAGTGAGTGATGTTGTCTATGTAACCCTGAGGCTGAGGAGGGCCTTGGTGCCACTAAATGGACAGATGGTTTGTCACAGAGAATCCCCTTAAGGAAATTCAAGAATCTCAAAGATGAAAGAAAGAGATGTTTCCTCCTACCCAGCATGTGCTCCACGTGGGACCATTTCTGCCAAGCCTGCAATGATTCCTTAAGTAATTGCGGGGTGGGAGGGGGAGACTTGTTCAATACATAATGAAGAATACTCCTCTGAGAACTGTGATAGTGGCTACAGCCATCCTTGCAGTAATGACAACCCTATTGCATTCCTCAGTGAGACAGGGTGTCTGGTGAAATGAGGATTGTCCTCTTCAGCATTGGTGACTTCAAAGGTCTGGCAGTCTGGAGCCCGGACATGATTCTGCACTGTGCATATGTGCTGTGTAATGAGCTCCAGGTGAAACATGTCATGTCCATACATGTGGTTAATAATAGCATCCCTCCAATTGTCTGTTTTATGTTGGTTATTGAAGAAGAAAGAAAAGTTATACACGTGTATGTGACACAGAATATTACGCTTTTTCATTAAACTTTCCTTTGTGCTTTTGTAGGAAACCTCCGATAGCAGGACTTGGGCATGGCAATGTGGGGTTCAAATGCAGAGCCTGGAAAACTGTGCTCAAATACTGACTAGCTCACAGATTAAATTAATTTAGTTTCTCCCCAAGTCTCTCCTCCCCCACCCCCCCCACCTCTGGAAATCATTCCTGCAGTTTGGTAGAATTTGTGGTCTAACTTCAGGTTGAACCAGCAGAGGGTACTACAGGTCAGGACCAAGATATGCTGATAAAAATGAAGCTCAGGAGCATGATGCAATGCGTAGGTGACGCAACATGAAAGGCTTTCTTAGAGTGATATCTTTTATTGAACTAACTATGCACCTGGCATAAAGTTAAAGTTAGACAAGCTTTTGAATGCAAGACATTCTTTGTCAAGTCTTTGGTCACAGAAAGCCTGGCACAGCATAGTGAGAAGCAACAGCTTATATTCAAAAGCTTGCCTGACTTTATCCCAACTACATAGTTGGTCCAATAAAAGGTATCACCCTAACAAAGCCTTGCCTCTTACATAATTTCTGGATCATCATGGCTACATCACTCTTACATTAGGCAATGCAACTGAAGACTGAGGTGCAGTTGCACAGCTTGGGGGAGGCAGAACTGGAAGATCAGAAACTGGCAGAGTTCAGAACTGTTGTGCAATGGGGGAAGAAACTTTCAGAGATGCCGCTTGCACTGTTCAGTCCTGAAATCTGCGTTGTTAGCCCCTCGTTTGATGTTCAGAACTCGGCCTTTCTCAGTCAAAGATCTAGTTAATGATATGAAAGGGACTTAAGTAGTTGGCCAAAGACAGCGTTAAACTATGTGCATGCAGGCCCAACAGGCTTTTGTAGGTGAACCACACTTGTCCCTGAGGGCAAAATATCTCCTGGAACTTTCCACCAAAGCTCCTTTATTTGTGCAGCCCTCCGGCTCCAGCCGTTGCCAGTGTTTTTCCTTTTTATCCTACGCTGGTCAACACATGGGCAAGGAATAGAAATAATAGATTTGTAATTGTTACAGCTGCCCCAAAAATAAATATGGCCTCTTATTTTGGCAAAAGTACAGAGCTTATTTCACATTAAGAACCACAAATACATCATTTCTCTTAATAATTACTTGTGCATTTGCACACAACCCTTAACACCTGATGCAAATGCCACACATCCAATTGAATCGTCCAAAGGCATTGGAAAAACAGCCGCTCTTCCCAGGATCATGATTGTAGTGTGTCTGCTACAACAGCAATGGAATTCACTGCATGTCAATGGGTATGTCTAGATGAGCGCACACGTCCAGCTTGAGCCGGATCATAAACTTGTTTCTAGCTCCACAAACTGAACATACTGCACCTGCAGTTGTGTGCTGAACTGCTAATTTGCAGTGCAGTGGCATTTTTTGACACTGGGAAATCCTGGTGTCAAAACAACACCAGAAAAAAGCAGGGTGGCACTCAAGGCGGCTGTGTGCTCCACCTGAAACTGGAGCATGGCCTGCCCATGCCATGCTCCAGTTGTTGGCCAGGCTCTGTGCATCTGGATCACTGCCACTAGAGCCCCAGGAGGCCCCCAGAACCCCAGGTGCTGGCCCCAGCCTCCTCTACCCAACCCAGGACAACTTGCTATGTTCCACAAATATGTATCACTGTTAGTTGTTCAGGGGAATACGTATTCCTGCTCATGGGGACATGCCCAATGGGTTTGAAAAAAATCGGTTAGAATTGGAAGGCTGACCAGTCTCTTACAAAGCATTTCAATGAGAAGTCAGACCAGTGTTTTCTGAACACTTGGACAGTTTCACAGCAACGCCAAATCATTATTTCCCTGCTTCATTTCATCAGCTAATTAAAATGCCAAGTGTTTCAAAGACAAGCTCAGCTTCAGTGACACTTGGAAGACGTTGACACAGAGGGATGGAGTAGGGATGAGGCTGCTGAAAGGAAAAGGCTGCCAGCTAGGGGCAAGAAGCTGATATGCTTGAAAGGAGTAGGAGGCTCCAAAGCTGCTCATCAGACCATGTAAGCCAGGAGGATGGTGTGTCAGCATCCACCATAATTTACAGACCCCAAGAAGTTAATCTAAATTTCAATTGGAGAATTTAGTATCCCATATGTAGGGCCCCAAACAAACCTAGGACCTGACAAAGCAAAGAAGAGAGTACTAATAAGTAACATCATGACAGGGAGTTACTATGCCAGAGCTAAATTTTGCCCCTCATCTTATGTGCCTGCTAAATGCCATATCCCTTAGTGGAACTATATAAAATTACAGTGGAAGGGTCTTGAATCACTAAGGGAACATTAACCACAAGAAACAGTGCTGCAATTCAGTGATGAAGTAGTCCTCTTTCTTAGCCAAGTCAGGAACATGGTGGAAGTGCAGAACTCTTAATTTTCCTGAACAAAGCATGGATTATGATACATACTACACTGAAAAGCAATGCTAAGTGTTATTTTGATTCTGTGGTCACTACATTATCTTAGAAATCGTTCCTAGTCTAACTGAATGATTGAACTGATTTGCAGATTATAAACACTGAGGTAGAGAGGGAGAAAATTGTTTGGGAACTGCTAAACAGCATCACTAGAAGTGATGGGTTGGAAGTGAGCACAAGAAAAACTTAGTCTGAATAGCAAAAGCATTGACAACAAGACAGATTGAATAGTGCCCATGGGAAATGACAGAAGTCGCTTTGCTTGGGTTCTTTAAACCAGACAATCCCCTGGTGATCATCCTGTAGGAAACAATGCTGCCATACCTTGGATGGCTTATACATCCATCTCTAACATTAGTAATTCTTCTTTAGCAGACTAATGTCTTGAAACTGCATGGTCATTGAGGTACTTACTGTAAATGCCACACATCTGCTTAGCTGGAACTGTCCTCGCAAGTGCTGCTGTTTCTTGAACTTGCCAACTATGCAAAGGCAATATGGACCTGATTTTCAGAATCCTTCAGCACTCACCACCTCAATGGAAAATAATGAGAGGTACACATCCTCAGCACCTCTGAAACCAGCCTCTCTGTGTCACTTTTCACTGTACAGTACTGTCCCAACACACTGGCACAAAATTCAGGAAATAACAGGCTGTAAAACCAGAGTTGTTTCTTTTTATGTCCTCTAAGCATTTGAGAACTCCAAGTTCCTCCATTCTTGAATTCCGTATAGAGAAATGGCCAGGTGCCTCCCAAAAGAAAAGTCTCCCCTGATCAGAAGAACTGGCATTACTGAAATACTATTGAGAGAAGATTCTGTTTACAACTTAACTTTTCTTCTTTCCTGGACTCTCCCTAAAGGAAACATTATACATTTGCACAAATCACAAATATTATTATTCTAGCATTAGTTTAACCTCACCTTTAACTCCCACTATCTCATCTGTGCCCGTCTGAATCCTCTGTAAGAAAAATCACCTGCAGCTGCTGGTGCCCAGGTGCAGTGATAGTTCCTCCCCCTATCTGAAAGGGGAATCTCAAGGTATTTAGGTCCCAACATTAAAGTTACAGAATTTAAAAAATAAATAAAGGGACAAGGGGCAACGAAACATATTCTGTTCCCTCTACCCACTTCCAAATGTCTCCATGTACTTCAGTGAAAATTGCTTGTATTCAAAACTCCACCCAGTGTTAGGAACCCAAAAAAGCAGCAGCAAGGCATACAGGAAAAATAGAAAGTGAAAGCAATTAGAAACAGAAAGTGACACACCAACCAGCCTAATTTCACTCTCTGAAAGGTAAGGATAGTGCCCACAACAAACAAACTTCACCATAGAAGAACAGTAAATTAGATTTTAAAAACTCCATCAGTTTTAATAATCTAAAATGCTGTTAATTACACAGATAAAGCTATTATTAATATACTTCTTATTTCCACAGTGTCCCTTTATTCTTGTTGATTGATGGTGGTCTGTCATCTTGGACAGAGAGTGGAGGTCAGCAGCTCTCTTGAGGACAATAACACATTCTGAGCTACAAATCAGCCAAAGAACAGTTTTGTTTTTCTTCCCCCTCATTACAAAAAAGCCCCTCCAAATTCCTCTTTTTATAATGCTAGCCACTTGCACCAAAGGAAAGTCCCAAGACCTCAAACGTGTCCTATCCCCAGGGCTTGAATTGAGGAGGAACACAGCTTGCCTGAATGAAAATGCAGCCAATTATGAATGTTATTTCATTAAATATTTAAAGAGAGTGCTTCCCTAGTGAAACGTTTGCCACTGGAGCCCTGATTCTACTGTGGATGTCTGGTACAATGTTTTATTCTGAGCTTAGACACAAGATGGAAGGATAGGGTGATGGCTCATTGTCATCAGATCAGGCATTGTTTGTTGTTAGTTTCCCCCTTCCAAACAAAAGCTCTAGGAGTACCTCCACTTGCTTTCCTCCAGGGCAGGACCTAAAGACATGTTTTAAAAGTGCCTGCATGTAACAAAATGCTGGTTGCTGGCAGAAACCCTGGGAACTTCAGAGAAATGGAGATTGCACTCCTGATTTTCAGCAGCAATACCAGTGATAGTAGGGGAACAGGGGGTACAATGCTGCATTGTATAATGATGTTTCTGGGCAGCAACTCCAGCAGCTTCAGAATAATGGAGAGTATAATACCAATCTTAACAAGCTTCATAGAGACTGTGGTGCTGGATCTAGGCACCCACCTGGGGAACCCCAGGGTAACAGAGAATGGCTACACCAGAAGTTTCAGAATAATCCACAATGCAGCACTGACTGGGTAGTAGCTGTGGGCAGCCAGGTTTAATAAAGAATGTGACTTTGGTTCTGGGCAAAAGCACTAGGAACTGCAGCACTTTGTACACATTATGCAAAAATTAGAGGCATGTCTTAAAGGTTTCTTTGTACAAACGTGCAACACTGCCCAGGGACAGCAGAGTTTGATTATGCTCCAAGGACTCAATTTCTAGCTATCAAAACCCCCTAGAGTCCCCTGCCCCAACAAGAATCCAGCAGCTCTTCCTAACAATAGGCCCAGGCTCTTCACAGGGCTCTCAGTACTCTGTAATCTCTTTGGGTACGTGCATACACACATGCACTTGCACACACATCCGTGTGTGTGCACAGAATAAACAAAGGTCTCATATGTACTGACATCATGTACATCAGCAACGATGGAACACAACACTTGCAAACTCCAAAGCACAAGACTCTCTCAACTTTAGCTACAGGAATACTGCATAAACTGGGTGAGAGTAGCAGGATCCTAGTCTCACTTTGGTTACTAAACAAAGTGGTCATCCGTACTGAGGGCTGGTTCTTCACAGATGCTAAACACCCACAGAAGCTCCTGCTGCACAGCTCTTAAAAACCAGGCTCTAAGACGATGCATTACAGACACTTGATCACAGTCTTTTATCTTTCTCTTCCGTAAAGCCAATAGCAGCTGCTGGTGGTAAAAAAGCAACCTGGATTCTCATTCTCCACCCTACTATACTCTCTAATCAAAATTCGTGGTTCAGAGATTGAATAAAGGAATGAGCACACTTGTTCTGTTCTCCTACACCACCTCCACCCCAACCACAGAAACCATCACAGGGGCTTCAGACATCTGTGGGCCAATGCTGGAGAGGCTAATTGACCAGCCTCATGCTTCTTCTATCCCAAATGACTGACATATAATGGTGCTGGGTAACAGGAGATACCATGGAGCTCTATATGGCACAGGCTTCTCAGTGCTTCTTGATGGCTCCCAAGCTGCTTTCCAATTAAAGACAGCCTTTGAATGGGGAAGGGGTGTAAACAGATGTATACTCTTTGGATTCATTCTCCGTCTAGATAGATTGTACCTTTTTCAGTGCTTTTTCACTTTTTCATTTACCTTAAAATGTAGGCTGGGTAAGTGGCTGCCTAGGAAGCTACATTTTGAGTCCATGACTAGGAAAAAAGGCTGCAGGAAATAGTGATTTACCCAGGAGAGTCTCTCTTATTACCCTCTTGGATCCAGAAATCCATCCCCAGTGTACAGCATAGCTGATTACCTAGTCAGAAAACAAATTTCTTAGGCCCATATGAGAGAAGGGAGAGAGAAACCCAGAGATGTGAAAGTGCTGAGCTAGGGAGGAAAATTAAAATCCTTTTGCCTAAGAGCACCAATGCACCTAAGGTCACCCCTGAGCCTACTGAGTAGCTGCCTCTGAGCATTAGCTCCATTCCTTTTCTGATCCAAGCAAAAGCCACTGCTACACATTCATTTTCCAAGGTAATTTTGTTATTGTTGTTGAGGGCAGGAAAGTCCTTTGAGCTCTTATTAAATTCCAATACAGAAAACTGGTGATTGTGGAACAGCAGGATGTTTCATTTGTTGTTCAAATGATTTAGAAACCTGGTAAAAAAGGGGAAATTGGTTGGAGCTTGTTGCTGGTCTTGGAGATGAGAAAGTCAAGCTCAGGCTATGCTTCCTTTGTTTGGTAGAGACAGGAGGTACGTGGTGGAGGAAGGACAACCTCAGTGGAACTGGAGAGGAGGTTTACAGGCAGGAGAGAGAAGATAAAAGAATAAAAACAGTTCCAGCCAGGGAACTTCACAGTATGGTGCCTCCCAATAGTCCCCTTAAATCCATGCTTTCATGCCTCAGAGTCTGCAGTTCTCTGTGGATCAAAGAATCCAGGGAGCCACCACAGCGTTCAGCACAATACTGGGGCTGAAAGTCATTTTGCCAAAGAACCACAGTGGCAGCCCTCAGAGAAAGGAACAAGTGTTCATCTTCTCATTAAATGGGGTTTCCTCAATAGTTCTGGGAGAAGGAAAAGATAGAAGGCATGAGAAAGGGTAGGTAAGAATGAATTTGAAGAGACCCAGAAAGAGTGGGGTGGGGAGGGAGAAGAGAGAGGGGGAGAGAGAGAGGGGAAATGGCATTTGAGGGCACTACTTAGACCCGTGTATGTCTACAGGTTCTTGAGGTGCCTGAGGCTGAGGCAGCTGCAGAAGTGGATGGGGACTCCTCATCTGTTGTGTCTCCCTGCTCTTCCTTGTGGAGACCAAGGCTGATATGGCTCTGCAAGGCTGCAGGGGTCAGCCACTCCTTTGGGAGGCAACTCTGGAGAAAGGGGATGCATGAGCTGAAATAAGCCAGGCGGTTCACCCAACGGGGTATCTCCTTCCCACATAGGATCTGTGGAGCAAAGCAGAAAAAGAATAAGTTTACTAGTACTAAAACATGTATTGTGCTTCTGGTAAAAAGATCTCCCCCACCTCCTCACCAGTCTGGATTCCTGATTGCTCAAAATACTCTTATTTCATTCCATGGACGTACTTTTTGATATCAGACCCAACCTTAAATTCCACCAAGATAGTCTGTGCCTTATGATAGCCTTGGCAAATACACAGGTTTTTATGGTCAGCCCCTCTTGTTCTTCTGTCAGCGGGCCTGAGGAAGGTGGGGGAACCTACTCACAGCCATGCATTACCTCAGATACTTTGAAGCCTTGTTCTTTGGGTTTATGGATCAAAAGGGTTGTTAGCTCCTGGAATAGGGGTGAAGGTATTTGAATTCCACTTTCAATGTGTAACGTTTTTAAGAGATTTAGACTGATGTTTAGCCAAGCTTGATTAATCTGTGAGTTGGCCCAGACCAGGTGGATAGAGACTCAGGAGAAATTATTCCCTCCGATCACCACTCCGTACAATGCTGGTACAGTCAAGTGGACTAAACCACAAAGTAGATTTGTACTACAGCACCTTTGAATGCTTTTCTCCATTTTCCCAGGATGGTAGTTCTTAAAATAAATCACTGAAATAGGAAATAGAAAACAGCAAACACAAATGTCTTGTTTCATGCTTATAGTATGTGTGGGTTGTTGTTTTGTGTATATTCTTGTGGCTCATGTACTCCTATGGTTTATTTCTCTAATTATATAATTTCTAATATGATGGGATGGGAAGGCTTAGAGGATGGTTAGCATGATAAGCATCTTTTCTATAGCATTCAAATTTAATAAATTTATATTCACCAGTACACATTAGCATTTGGTAGCCTCTAAGTCAGTCTAGTTCTGACTGGAGACGGAAGTCCTCACCACAATAAACATTGCATTTGATGGGCAAAGAAGTGGCATTTTAAGACAGTCATTTAAGGGGAAACCAGGTGACTTCAGAGGCATCAGGATTTCACCCCTAAAATGTATTAAGTTTCATTAACAAGTACAGATCCACACCAACACACAGGAAATATGGCCGCTGTGCCAAGGTGCTTGCAGTCTAAAGTAGGCACAGAGGCAAAATACTACTCCCAACCCTGGAAGTGTTCCCTGCCTAGAGCGAAGCCAAAGCATGTTGCCTTAGCAATATGGGAGAAGCTTCCAGATGTGGTGCCCCTCCTGTATCTTCTTTATGGATAAACAGATTCCTGGCTCTAGGGTCATCCATACAGTACCCTACCCAAGTGCAGATTTCCCAACTCCCCCTCCCTCGAGTCTGAAAATCTGTCTAATGAACTGAGTAAACACCCAAAGATATTACTGACCTTATACACTTCATCCTCACACACAACAATTTCACTTTTAATAACCAACACTTCCTCCAGATGATGGGAACAGCTATGGGCACTAACATGGCCCCACAATATGCCA